CCTTTGTATAGCGAAACTGTCATGCTATAGTTCCATTCAGTCGGCATTGAGCAATTTCTCCACACTTCACGGCAAAGTTGTAGTTTGAATACCTGCAGTACCAGATGCTTTAATAATATCAATTGTGAGTCCAGAGGGCCTTGCCGCCTTCCATCTTTCATAGCTTTCAGAGCTTCTGTAAGCTCCTCTACAGTGATGTCTGAAATCGTACCTTCGATGGGTGGAGCGTCAAAGTTGATATTGATGGGATTTGTTTTATTTAACTGACAGTTGAAGTATTCTCTCCATTGTAACTTGATCTCATCTTGTTCAAAAACCATCTCATTTTTTTCGTTTTTGATACATGAGGCACCAACTATGTTTTTTTTCGTACGCTTTGCTTCTTTTGCTATACGATACAGAGATTTCATTTGTTCACCTTTGTTTTTAGTGAGCCACTCTCTGCACTGATCTGTCCGAGCCAGTGCGACTTGACGTCTTGCATAGTTTTTCTTCTCACTGAAAATTTTATGGTCATCAACAGACTTTGATTTTTGCCATTGCTTGCATGCAGCTTTCTTTTCAGCTATTGTACATTTTGTACACAGTCGAATGACTGTGTACAAAATGTACTGTGCACTACCAAGTTTCCCGTTCCTGCTGGCGTTTTGTACCAGTTTTCCCATGAATTGTAGTTACAGCGTTTATCAAAACAGTTTTGTATGTACTCCAATCTGTACTGGCTTGCGATTGGTGGTCTAAATGTGTTGTGACACTCTGTTGAAATTTTTCTCGATGAATATTGCTTTTAAGCTTCCGCGTTTGGATTCTCCGAGGCATTTGTTCAGACTTATGTTGTGACAGTTCGACAACCAGGTCTGCCACAAGGAGTCTATGTTGGGCGAAATAGCATCTTCCGTAATATCAAAACGTAAACATTCTTTTTCAAAAAGACATTTTTGAATAGCCTTCGGTGTTGTTGCTTGACAGCAAAGAAATCAATTTGCGTGGCTGATGGTCCACTTTTGTATGTTATGAGATGTTCCAACCTCTTTCTAAAATGTGTGTCCAGAAAACAAAACCCGTGACTTTCGGCAAACTCAAGGATGCGGTTGCCATTTTCATTCCGTTCTCCATAGCCAAAACCGCCATGTACGTTGTCAAAACCATCTGTTTTCTCTCCAACGGGGCCATTGAGATCGCCTCCAATAAGGATTGTTTCAGATTTTGGAATTGTTGAGATGGTGTCAAAGAACGCAGCCCAGAAGTCATTTTTCATCTCTTCTGATTCACCTGTCTGTGGTGCGTGTGCAGAAAAAAAGTCATTGTTTGCTTTTCTAGGCAAAGCTTGATCCACGAGACGTGAGTTAATCCTTTTAATATCCAGTACTTCTTGGGCTAGCTGTTCTTTGACAAAATTCCAACACCATTTTTGGCTGTCTTTTGACCATTCCAGAATAGTTTATGTTTTTCTTTGTCTGAATTGATATGACAGACACCATTTGATTTCCATCGGGTTTCCTAAAGGCAGTAGACGTCAATCCTTCTACGCTCGAGCATTTCTGCGATTTCCATGCTGCAGCCTGTCAGTGATCCAACATTGAGCGTTCCAAGTTGCATATACACTACAGACCGGTAAAACTGAAGACTTCTGAAACACCCTCTCAGATGGCGTCAGGAAAACACCATCATCAGAGATGCCATTGATATGTGGCAACCTCAACGGCCATGTTGGAGATAAAGCAAATGGGTTCTACGGTGTCCATAGAGGCTTTGGCTACGGGTCTCAAAACAAAGACGGTGTACGTATTCTGGAATTTGCTAAAAGCCATGAACTCCCTCTGTTGAACACTTACTTCAAGAAGAGGGCAGAACATTTGATCACATATAAAAGCGGGATGTCATGCCCAAAAATTGACTTTATCGTTGTCAGACAACAACACAGACGACTATTCAGGAATACAAAAATCATTCCAGGCAAAGCATGCATCCCTCAACATCGATTGCTGATGGCCGATATGTTCAGGAAAAAATTCGAGGCGTCGGTATCGGCACTGCTGGATCGTTTGGAAAAGATAGATACAACCTGGAAATCTTTTAAGGACACCCTAGTAAACGCTGCAATAGCTGTATGTGGAAAATCTGGATCAAAAAGCCAGCACAACTGCAAAACTTGGTGGTGGAACGAGGCGGTGCAAAATGCTTTTGCCAGTAAAAAAGCAGCTTTCAAACAATGGCAGAGGACAAAGACTAATAAAGATCGAAAGACATACCGATCAAAGAACACAGAAGAGAAATGTCAGGTTGCGATAGCTCGTGTAAATCCATGCAAGGTATGGCTGACTGGAAATAAAAGCGAACAAATTCGGTCACTCTATTGAACGGCAAATCAGACCAAAAGGCTGAAAAAGGATATGGCTGGAAGATGTGGAGTAAATCGATATTACCAGTAGACTGGAACAGTATCACAACTGTGCCGATATATAAAGGAAAAGGAGATCCGCTGAAATGCTTCTCATATCGGGGATATACGTTTTCTGGAACATCCTCTGAAAGTTATTGAAAAAGCCATTGGGAGAAGACAGTTGTCGTGCGCTTCAATAGGTAGTTACCTGTACGGCTTCATGGCAGGGAGATTCAGCATTGATGCTATCTATATCATTCGTCAACTACAGGAAAAATACATGGCAAAGCAAAAGCGACTGTTCCATGTCTTTGTGGACTTGAAAAAGGCTTTTGACAGAGTGCCTCGTGAGGCAATCAGGTGGAGTCTACGTAAACAGCTTGTTCCAAAATGTTTGGTTCGGTTGGTTATGGCAACGTACTCTAACACAACGTACTCTGGTCAGCGCAGCAGCCAGTAAAACGAATGAATTTGATATAACGTCGGCGTCCATCAGGGATCAATACTCAGCCCCCTGCTTTTCATCACGGTGATGGAAGAAATAACCAAACCGATACGCTCAGATAACATATAGAATGTGATTTATGCAAATGATATCGTTCTGACAGCGGCCACGGAACAAGACGCAGCCTGAAAGTTTGAGGTCTGGAATTCCCAGCTCGTCGAACACGGGCTAAAGTAAACCTGGTCAAAACAAAAACTATGATCGCCAGTGGTACCGCTGAACCCGTGGTTTCTGGTCATTGGCCATGTTTGCTGTTTGGGGCTTGAGTTGGAAGCAACTCGATCAAATGCCTACGATGTCAGCAGTGGTGTCACAAACGAAGCTCGAGAATTACCGGCTTACTGAGGAAAGTGACTGATTTTGTATGCCCTGCCAGCATCAACCCGCGACAACGGAGCCCAGACAATGATACGGTTACCGGGATCGAAACTGTTACTTCATTTCAGTAATTGGGAGATGTGCTGGATTTTATTAGAACAGCTGATGCAGCTGTTCGTGGGCGCATATGTGCAACAAATGGCACCTTCTTGCTTCGGTACTGATGCCCCGTAGCATTCCTTTACCGCTGCGCTCAGAGCTATACAACACAGCAATACGTTTTGTTCTGATGTATGGTGCAGAGACCTGGCCGATGACAACAAAACTCGAACAGCAGCTTCACCGAACTGACATAAAGATGATTCGTTGGATGCAGCATGTTAACCTAAGGGACCATATTTATACAACCGAGATTCTGAACCGATTGGGACTGTGAACCTAATCCTAACGTTGAAGGATGCATGTCGTCGTCATCACCTACAATGGTTTGGCCATGTGAAGCGAAGCAAAAACGATACAATAATTTCCGTTACTGAGCACCAAATGCCTGGCACTCGCCCAAGAGGTTACCCAAAAAAGTCTTGGACGCAGACCATACAGGAGGGCTTGAAGGCACTTGGTCTCATAACGGATGGAGACTATAAACGAGTATTGATTTTTTGTTCAGTATTATGCAACTCTGACTCTGACACACCGAGTACATATCATTCTATACTTATATCAAACTTTCGTGAAACAAAGCGGTACTTTCTAAACCACATCGTGTAAACACGTCCACATAACGTAAACATGTATTTTGTGCGCACACGCAAAAGTCGCATGCATTATACACGCATTATGATTTGATTTTACAAGAAAAACATGAAAAAGGGTTCTATAAAGCAATGAAACACAATTTTTGATGTGCCTATAAAGTAATTTCTTATGATGGCTTGGTGGTTAAGGTCGCTCGGTGCTGTTTGAATATGACTAAAAAATCTGCCTGCTCATCACATGCTTCCTGGGTTATGCATCGTTTCTCTGACAAGCGATATTTTTCCACCGAAAGCAATTAACTTTTCGAAACAGAATTCCTTTGACACATAATACCATTCCTCAAACAACGCGAAACTTTTTGTAAACTGAATTCTATTGAAACGTATTACTCTTTCAACAACCGCAAGCAAATCTTTGTAACTGAAACGAAATTCTATAGACAAGAATACTCTTCCGTCGCCAGCCCGACATTCTTCGAATACTAAACTTTTCTGACAAAGAACACTCTTTCATCTAAAACGTGCACCTCTTTGTCAATTTAATTCATTTACGGAATAATAAACTTTAATTACTGAACTCCACAACTGGCAACTACGAACTCCAGTTAACACTTTCGCGCTTTTCTGTGTTTAAATATTCTTCACTCAGATTCAAACCGCGTCATTCGTCTATTTTATGGCATACCAACCGAACCAAACACTAATTCCTAGAAATTCCTAGAAACAGATAGACCTTTAACTCTTTGAAGCCGCTCAAAAAATTTGAAAAAATTGATTATTAAAAAGCTGATAAACTATTAAAAAATGAGTAATATCACCAAAACGTCTAATGTGCTTATAAAATATCTATTATATTTCAGTTACAAAGAGCTTTACAAATGCAAAACAAAAATATGATAACTTTGTTTACATTATTTGATTTATCAGAATTATTTGCTAAAAATGCAGCTCAGCCACGATAGGAAACTGCTGAAAATGGAAATGTTGAATGATAAAAATGGTGGATCATTATTTATAAGATTTTAATTTATCATTGAACCTGGCCAATCCGAAATCACAGACTTTCACAATGCACTGCCCATCAAGAAGAACATTTGAAGGCTTGTAGTCTCTGTGAATGACATTTCCTGAGTGTAAATATTTTGTGGCTGCGAGTAATTGGTACATAATAAACTGCTTGTGAACCTAAGAATAAAATATTTATTAGATATATTTTATATATATTAACCAATATTTTGTAAAATATAGTTCACAATTAGCTACAAAAAATTATATATTATTTTGAAGAAATATATTCAACAACACAAAAAAAACGAACCAACATTATCTGAATATTCTCAATACTTTAAAAGCATTTTTTAACTAAAATTCTTAAAAATAACGTTGAGTTGCATCTTCTTTTACTAACAACTCCTATATCTGATTTTCTTTAAATCTTCAATGCAATCAAACATTTTTTTTGATATCTATCAAACAATGATAGATTTCTAGTCCACTACTTGTACATTTTTCATCAATAGATTTAACATCAAATTAGCTGGATTGCACTTCTGTTTTTTCATAAACCATTTTTTATATTTTTCTTAGTTATTCTAAGAATGACTAAGAAAACTAACAAGACGATCAACATAATCTTGCATATGCGAGAAATTAATGCTGCCAATGGGTAATTATTAAAATCTTTCAGATCATTTTTTTTAGTTACACATATAGAACTGATTTTGACAATTTTGACATTTTTCTCTCCACAATTTTCTGATAGATTTTGTAAACTTCTTCAATTTCAGAGTTTCCTTGTTCTTATAAATCCATTTAGCACAATATTATATAACATAAATAATTTGTAAACCTTTTAAAACTTCAATAGCAATGAGCAAAAACTAAGAAAAAAATTTCTTTATAAAAGTTGGAATATTTTTTATGGAAACAACAACAACAACAACAACAACAACAACAACAACAACAACAACAACAACAACAACAACAACAACAACAACAACAACAACAACAACAACAACAACAATAACAACAACACACGTTTAGACGACATTTTCCCCGAGATCGGGGGTTGCCGTTTGGCTATATAATACCCCTCGACGCCATCCACATCTGTCACTCGCCTCAGTATCACGCAACCCCGCTTTCACCCTGTCCTTCTCCACCTGCTCTCTCCATCCCAATCGCGGACGACCCCTTCCTACCACTCCTTCAACCTCGAACTCCAACACTCGCCTAATCCCGACCCTTTCATCCCTTCTCAACACATGTCCATACCACCGCAATCTCGATCTCCTAATCAATGTCATAATGTCCTCATTCAGTCCCATCATTGACATCAGCTCTGTACTACTTCTATCCTCCACTTTAACCCCACACATCATCCTCACCATAGCTCTTTCAGCCCTCTGCAGTACACTTTCCTCCTCTCTCCTCAACACCCAAGTTTCACCACCATATACCATCGCTGCTCTCACACATGCTTTATATACCCTCCCTTTCATCTTCACTGACCATTTCTTTCCACACAATACCCCACCCAGTTTCCTAAATTTCATCCATCCCACACGAACTCTAGCCGTAACTGCGCTCAAACATCCTCCATCCGCGTTCAGCTTATCCCCTAAGTAAACAAAGCTTTCCACTTTTTCAATACCACCACTCAACCCCGTCCTTGCGTCCGTCCTATTAATCACACCATGAACACATTTCTTACATTTGAACGTGCCTTCCACCTTTTTCAATGCCCCCCTCACACCACTACATTTCTTATGCACCCATTTCTGACATCCTATACACAATACTGAGTTAGCTTTCACTCTCCTGTCACATACCCCACAGGGGTCTATTTTACTTATCACTCGCTCCCCACCTTCTCCACTCACCATTACCTTCGTCTTACCAATATTAACTTTTAACCCTTTCTTTTCAATAACACTTTTCCATCTGTCAAATTTTAACTGCAATTCTTCCATGCTATCAGCCATCAAGGCTAAATGATCTGCATACAAAATCTCAAATAACAACCCCTCCATTATGTTTCCACACACAACATCCATCACAATTGCAAACAGAAACGGTGATAACACTGATCCTTGATGCACTCCTACCTTAACACTAAAAGCGTCCGACATCCCCTTTCCAACCCTCACCTTTGTCTTTACCCCTTCATACAGCTGCATCACAGCTTTAACAAGTCTCTCATTCACTCCTTTCTTCCTCAACGCCCATTCAATGACTTTCCTCGGTACTCGATCAAAAGCCTTTTCTAGATCCACAAAACAAATGTACAATCTTCATTTCTTCTTTCTATAATTCTCCTGCAACATTCTCACCATGAACAACGCATGGAAAAACATAAATGAATATTGAATAAAAAAGACAAGCATGTTCTTTGATTATCATTACTATTTTATTTATTTCATTACTAAAAATTTTTTTGTACTGTAAAATCATCAGTGTAGTCATTTTATGAATAAAAAAACATACATCTGAAAGGATGTTGCCTTTTTTTATCACATTGTGAAGATCCGTATCCATGAATTCAAAAACCAAATAAATGTCCTGATAAAGAAATTATTCAGCTATAAAATAAAAGTGCAATGGTCATTTTCGCATTCAGCAGTCAGATAATTAATTAAAATTATAAATTAATTAAATAGTTAATTGACATTTTAAAATTTGACTGTTTGTTAATTAACAATCTCCTTATGGCCTTATGCTTATATAAATTATATTATACAAATTATAATACTATATTTTATATTATTATAATTATATAATGCACATCTACCTTGTCATTTTCGGCTTTTATGACGTTTCGAAGTCTGATGATGTTTCTGTGGTCGCTGAAGGCTTGCAAAAACATTATTTCTCTAAAAGTACGTTGGGCGTCTGTCGCATTTCTAAAGGCGTCGAAAATTTTTTTTAAGGCGACTACTTCAGACGTTTTTTTGTCGACTGCTTTCCAAACAATGCCATACGCGCCCTTGCCCAAACGTTTCTTAATTAAATATTTTTTAGTTATATGAGATTCCACCTCATTATTACTCATTATAAAATTTGAAATTGTTAAATGCAAATCATCAGATCATGTGATCGTTGTTGCTTATCTTTATCGACGATTAGCCTCGTTATTATTATTTACAAAGAAAAGCGTTCTTCGTTACAGTTGTTATGCATCTCAAGTTAATTCAGTATGCAGCATTCGATTAATGCCATGTTAAAAAAACTTATATAGAACAACCAAATATTTAATTTAATCATATATATATATATATATATATTTACAATATTCTATAAATTCTACCAAATGTTTGGCGTTAATATGTTTGTAGTTCGTTTTTTCGATTTTTCTCACTAAAGTTTTTTGGTGAACGTTTAGTTATTAAAATCAAAATAA